AACCCTTAAACCCCTAAGCCCTTAAACCCTAAACCCTGAACTCTGAAAACCCTAAACCCTTACAACCCTAAACCCAAGGGCCCTAGGGAAGCCCCTGATCCTTCTTAGCCCTCCTTATGGCTCTCTTAGATGAAAAGGGGGCTTACTAAGAGAGTCTGTATCCGCCAAGGTCCCCACTGTAGGGTTTAGGGTTTAGGGTTCCAGCTAGCACTGTCATTCTGCAAGGAATGTTGCTGACAACGCGATTTCTAGCGGGTGCTGAGGGTTCGGTATGGGGTATGCGATGGTATGGGTTTCCTTGATGGGTTCCTCTGGTAATCTGAGCGGTTCATCCGGTTTGATAGGGAGTTAATAAACACGGTTGCATCCATGTATCTAGATAATAGGAGTATATACCCTAGCCCCGAAGGACCTCCAAATGATCCAATAATCGGGCACATTGGTTACGGATAGTAGTAATCTAGCCTAATATTTGGGAGAGTATATGATTATTAGGCACTTGGACCCTTAGGGTAGGGTAGGTTGAGAGAGCAACTTTCGTGATTTTTGTTTTTTTTTGGGGGGGTGGGGCTTTGCCTCGGCTGCTGAACTGGAAAGAGCATGAGAACCCAAGCGCAAGACATGTGCCACCCGGAGACCCGAATCCCCCAAAAACCTGATATCAGGCCGGTTGCCCACCACTTCCCTTGCCAGCATTTTAGGACGATGGTACCGTTCCTCTCCTGCAGACATTAGCGCGGTAGGGTTTAAAGTTTGGGGGTTTAGGGTTCCGGATTTGGATAGAGGTTTCTTTAAGGTTCCCTTCACGGGTTCCTATCAAGGGTTCCTTTGAGGGTATAGGGTTTAGGGTTCCTTTAAAGGGCTCCTTGAAGGGTATAGGGCTTAGGGTTCCCTTTAAAGGGCTCCTTTAAGGGTATAGGGTTTAGGTTTCCTTGAAAAGGGTTCCTTTAAGGGTATAGGGTTGAAGGCTCCCTTTAAAGGGCCCCTTTAAGGGTATAGGGTTTAGGGTTCCCTTTAGAGGGCTCCTTTAGGGGTATAGGGTTTAGGGTTTCCTTCAAAAGGGTTTAAGGCTGGGGCTTTGCTTTGGGGCTCTGAACGGCTTCTACACGGAGCTTCGTAGGGGCTCTATACGGCGGGGGATTGCGGTGAGGGTGTGGGATTAAAGTAAACCTTATATTAGAATTTAGGGCTGGGCTGTAGAGCCTGCGGTTTTTCCTTGCGATCTGGAGGCTGCGACAGGAACTAAACCCTAAACCCTAAACCCTAAACCCTAAACCCTAAACCCCAAACCCTAAACCCTACGCGACTTCCCACTCCCAGGTAAGTAGAGCCCTAGGGTCTCGTTGGAGTCTCAGAAATCCGAGTGTTGAGGCTCCCGAAAGTGTTAGGGTTTAGGGTTTAGGGTTTAGGGTTTAGGGTATAGGGTTAGGGTTTAGGCTTTCGAATCGCTGGAGAAACCCTAAACTCTTGGACCAAGCACCGCCTAGTGTAGAGGCCTTAATAATCAGAATAAGGTTTTGGAGTATATGGTACTATAATTATGATAAGGAACCCCCAATAGATTATAGGCAATTAGTTAGGCTTCTATATTAGGCCCTCCTATGTTGGTGGGAAGAAAGTGGCATGGTCCTATTACAAGGAGTTGCAGGAACCGAAAACGGAAAGTGCAGCTCGTGGTCTGCTTTGTCTAGGGTTTAGGGTTTAGGGTTCAGGGTTTAGGGTTTAGGGAGGATCGGGGGACGTAGTGAGTAGCGGTATAGGAACTTGAACTGCGGCTATGTAGGTACACATACCTTGCTGGTAACCTTACTTTCCAAGTCACCTGGTCCTTTCAGTAGGTACAACGGTAGCCATGCAAAGCAGCATCGACGCAAGTCAACATCATAGTTAAGGGTACTTAGAGCTATGCTGATGAAGAGGCTGCTGGTCAAGTGCAGATCGAAAGCCTGCATTTAGGATTCTAGTGTTTGAGGTTTAAGGCCCCAAATCTGCAAGACAACAAAACCCAGAACCCTAAACCCTGAACCCTAAACCCTAAACCCTACACCCTAAACCCAAAACTACTAAACCCTAAACTGCGCTTGGACCTTACCGACCCTGCCATTTTGATGCCGTGGTTCTGTTGGGCACAAGCAGCAAGCTGCTTGGTGCCGGTTAAGAACACCCAAACAACTTGAAGGACCCCGGAAAAGGCTTCTCAGGGCTTAGGGTGTAGGGGTTTAGGGTTTAGGGTTTAGGGTTCCGGGCTCGTTTCAGCTTTCAGAGGCAACAATGAAAGGGTATTCGGGGTACTGCCGGGTATAAAATTCACAGCGCTGTTCATAAATCTCCAAGGCCTAATATCGGACCGACGAGTACGCACTCAACTGGATTCTTCCACTGCGGGCTGTTCTAAAAGTCGACGAAAATGAGGTGCACTATGACTACTCTGTGGACAAGTCTTCTCATTAGCTACTGCATGCCACAAGTACTCCTCAGCAATCCTAGACCCTGAAACCGGAACGCTATCCCCAGCCCCTAATCCCTGAAACCCTGAAACCTAAACCCTAAAGCCTAAACCCTGAACCCTTAAAACACGTAAACCCTAAGATGGGCTTGCTTGACCCTGACAACCAGGCCTTAATGTAGTCCCTATATAGGTACTTTGGGCCCAAAGTATATACTATTTGGGTACATGGACCCTTAGGGTTAATGAAAAGCATAGAGGCAGACGGCTCTGCAAAAAAAGTCCGATCAACGCCCAAACCCCCAACGATAATCCGACAACAAAAAACCACTTCAGGGATAAACTCCCAAAGCCGTTACAGCTACCGTTAGGATAAGCTTTTAAGGGCTCTTGTTTCTTTCAAGAAACTCTACCACCCCGGTAAATCCTAAACCCTTAAAGAACCCGATTAGAGCCCTCATAATGTCGGGGCCTTAATAATTGGAATAGGGTTTGGGGGGGTAGATTATACTATATTTAGAATTTAGAATAAGGAACCCCAAAACCCTATTGTCATTACTAAGCCCCTACACCCCAAACCCCTACAGTAGCCCTTACAGTATCTCTTAAAGGAAGCTTTTCAAGGAAGCCCCAAAACCCACTGAGGCCCTTACATTTTAAAGCCCTCATACACCTCCCCTGGCCTCGGTCCCCTCCACATCGCCGGTTTGCGCAAGATACTGCTCGCCTAGCAGCTCCCAGCTTTGCCTCAGGGTTGGGTTTAGGGTTTAGGGTTTAGGGGCTTTGCCTTAGGGTTGGGTTTAGGGTTCAGGGTTTAGGGGCTTTGCCACAGGGTTGGATTTAGGATTTAGGGTAGATCGCTGAAAGTTTCAAAGGGGTCCAAGGGTGGGATCAAGGTAGGTGGGGTATTCCCTCATACGGGTCCTTGTTTACGAGATCCTTAGTCGTACTAGGAGGATCATGGGACGAATTAAGTAAGGTAAAAAGTTCCTTGATGTTGGGTTATACGTAGTTAATCTGTGAGTGCAGTCGCCTTCCTTCTGATCCTAGAGTTACTAAGCGCCATGCCCTAAGCCCTCAGCCCTCAGCCCTCAGCCCTCAGCCCTAAGCCCTAAACCCTAAACCCTAAACCCTAAACCCTGCACCCTAAATCCTGAACCCTAAAGCCTGAAGCCTAAAGCTTAAACCCTAAACCCTGCATCCTAAAGCCTAAAGCCTAAAGCCTAAAGCCTAAAGCCTAAAGCCTGAAGCCTAAAGCCTAAAGCCTAAAGCCTAAAGCCCAAACCCTAAACCCTAAACCCTAATCCTACCTACCTTCATCCCACCTTTGGAGGCCCCCTGCGGGTTTGGGTCGAAGCTTCCGGACAAAATCCCTTCGAAGGCTTCTTGTAGCAGGGTTTAGGGTTTAGGGTTGAAGGTTTGGGGTTTAGGGTTTGGGGTTGGGGGTTTGGGGTTTAGGATTTAGGGTTTAGGGTTTAGGGTTCAGGGTTTGGGTTTTAGGGTTCAGGGTTCAGGGCTTTCAGGGTTTGGGGTTTGAGGCTTCTTGTAGTAGGGCTCGGGTTAAAGGAAACTACAGGTGGGGAGTTTAGGGTATATAGGGCTTCTACAAGCCTTCTATAAGCTCCTATAACCGTAACTACCCACCTGAAAATGTCCTAGATCAAGGCTTGCAGGGTTCAGGGTTTGGGTTTCAGGGGTTGGCAGCAGGGTTCAAGGTTTGGGGTTGCAGGCTCAGACAAAAACTAGGGTTTCCGGGCGCATGAAAACATGAATACTTAGGGCCAGCAATCGTATAACATCGGGAATTTCAACCCGTGCGCGCGGACATGTACAAGTAACACGTATCACATAACTATTTCTTTGGGGAATATGTAAGATCACTCCTTTTCCGAGGCATCTGTAATATAAACCTCTAAAAGCTCTAAGCCCTAAACCTGACACCCACTCGTAGAACCGATAGGAAACCCTCATAGAAACCTTGTAGAACACTGATAGTAGCCTTCTGGAAGGCCTAAAGGAACCCTTCCAGAATCTCGTTAGCCACCTTAAAGAACTCTTACCTATCGAACCCGTAAGGGAACCCTTACACGAACCCTAGATCCCCTCCAAAAGGAGCCCTTAAAGGGAGCAGGGGGGTTTAGGGTTCCGGGTTTTGAGCCCAAGAAATCCTAGACCCTTAACCCTAAACCCCCCAAACCCCTAGACCCCGAAGGCCCTAAACCCCAAACCTCGAAATAAACCCTAAACCCTAAACCCCCTAAACCCTGAACCCTAAACCCCCCAAACCCTAAATCGCCAGAAAGATCAAGGCTTCGGGCTCGGTCTCTGGGTCGGTGCCGGGCCGCTCGATGGAATCGGCACAGCTTCGAAGTAAGTCCAGATCCTTGAATGTCTAAGATTTGCAGGGCTTAGGGCCTATCCCTTACCCTCGAAGGACGCGTATGTTAAGGCTTTTGGGCCCAGAGACCTTATTATATGAGGCTTTTGGGCTATTTTGATGCCAAGGGTATAGGGTCGAGGGTCTGTAGGGTTTAGGGTTTATGTGGCTTAATTTATAGGGTTTAGGGCCTGATCCTTTACGTGGCCAGTGGACACCTAAACTCAACCCTAACCCCCAACCCCTAAACCCTCAACCCTACCAAACCTGGCAGCTCAAGGTGAGTTCCCTTGCTGCCGGGCGTCGATATCTGCCACCGTCGCTGTGTACTTCTGCGGCTCGTGCCAGCTTGAGTTGTAAGAACGGTGGTGCCTTTGACAGGTCTTCATTACGGAGTCATTTAGGTTTAGGGTTAAGGGTTTGAGAACGGTGACGCCTTTGAGGTCTTCATTCGGGTTTCGGCGTTCGGGGGCTTTAGACTTTCCAGGGCAAGGGACAAGGCATAGGATGAACGGTTCAGGGTTATCAGCGGCTTAGTCTTTCCTGTTTTCACCCACGGGCCCAAGCACAGCTCACAAGAAAGAGCATGGTTGACCAACAAACTTGACATGACATTCACCAAACGCTAAAAGCTGTAAAATCCCCCCTAAACCCTGAAGGCAAAAGCCCAGCAAAGACTTCAAACCCCCACCAGAACAGCAAAGCTCGAGGATTTCTTGCAAGATGGTGTCCTTGAGATCGACCTAAACCCTTCACCCTAAACAACTCCTAAACCCAAGCCCTAAACCCTAAACCTTAAACCCTCTGACTGGAGGCATCTTGCCGCACGCCTTCTAGAACCCTCCCAGCATCTAAGGGTTCATGTACCTGAATACTATATACTTTGGCCTTAAAGTACGTAATCCCTATTTGGGTAAATTGGGGACAAAGTATCTAACATTTTGGTCTAACATTTTGGTACATGGACCCTTAGGCCCTTAGGG